GGAGGGGTGGTGAAACCCCTTAAATTTGGGATCAGAGCCCTGAAAAATGGGGGAAAATTATTAAAAATGTGTGGGGAGGGGCTGGGAGGGGGAACCCTGGAGAGATTGTGGGGTGGGACCCCAAAATTTGGGGGAATCTTTGAGAATTGAGGGGTGAAACCCTGAAAACAAAAAAGGGGACCTGGAGGGGGTTCGGGAGACCCCAAAAATTGGGGAAAACCCCCAAAAATGGGGTGGGGGAGGGGGGGGGAGAGCAGGGGATGCGGCGGGACGTACCAACCCCAATTGCGGGGGGGGTTTGGGGGTTCACCCAGTGAGAACAACCGAACTAATTAACAAACCGAGCCGATTAATGAGCGGAGCAGTTAACGAGCATCACCTTTAATGAACTGATCTCCATTTTCAGCCATCCCACAAAACGGGGGCGCCCCGAAAAGAACCCCAATACCGGCACCACCCCCCGGCCCGGCAGCGGCGCCGCCCCCCCCGCGGGATGCGCCTGAGCCGCGACGACGTGGCCGAGGTGACGGCGAACCCCGACCTGGGAGCGCGGGCCCTGCGCCAGCTCGACTGCCAGCTGGTGGCCCTCAAACGCCAGGTGACAGCCCTGTCCCCCAGCTCGGGGACACCCGAACCCCGCGGGTCACCCGGACATGGACATGGGGTGACATCGGTGTGTCCCCTCCCCCCCCTGTGGCTGCAGGTGCAGCGCATCAAACAGATCAACAGCGGCCTCAGGCAGGCGCTGGACGGGGGTTTGGAGGGGCTGCGGCCGCCTGAGGTGGGTTCTTGTGTGCCCCAGAGTGTCCCCAGTGTCCCCAGTGTCCCCATGGTGTCCTTGTGTGCCCCAGAGTGTCCCCGTGGTGTCCCCAGTGTCCCCATGGTGTCCTTGTGTGCCCCAGAGTGTCCCCATGGTGTCCCCACCATCTCCATGGTGTCCCCATGGTGTCCCTGTGTGCCCCGGGGTGTCCTCAGTGTCCCCACGGTGTCCCTACGGTGTCCACAGTGTCCCCATAGTATCCCCACGTTGTCCCCACCATCTCCATGGTGTCCCCATGGTGTCCCTGTGTGCCCCACAGTGTTCCCATGGTGTCCCTGTGTCCCCACAGTGTCCCTGTGTGCCCCACGGTGTCCCCAGTGTCCCCATGGTGTTCCCATAGTGTCCCCAGGGTGTCCCCACCATCCCCATGGTGTCCCACAGTGTCCCCAGCGTGTCCCTATGTGCCCCAGAGTGTCCCCATGGTGTCCCCAGTATTCTCACAGTGTCCCTTTGTGCCCCACAGTGTCCCCACGGTGTCCCCACAGTGTCCCCAGTGTCCCCACGGTGTCCCCATGG